AATCATTGGTAACTCAGTATATTTTCACTTGCATTGATGACAGTGATAGTAAATAACCTTTATTGAACACTGCCTTCTACACTTGAGTTACATTATTTAATTCACACTCACACATGCATAGCCAACGAGATACATTTTTTCCTAAATGCGTCGAATAGAAGAGGAGACTGAGGCAGAGAAGCATTAAGTAAATTGCCCCAAGTATCATGGCAAGACGGTGATAGAGCGGAGTTTGAACTCAGGTAATTGGACTCCAAAGCCCTAGCAAGTGGTTAACATAAGAGGAAATGGATTGAATTAGAAACCTTTAGAAGTAAATTAAAATTTTCTTCTTATTGTAACCCAACTTGGTTGGAGCCTGAAGGAATGGGGAGGACACTTTTGGAATTCACAACCTTCTCTTGTACATTAATCATCCAATCTGTAAGTGTTTTAGGGGCCATGAGTACATATCTTGGGTTAATCCCAAGATTGGGTTGAGAGATAAAAAGAAACATTAGGCTCTTGCTATTAGAAAAGTTAATATGCATGCTATTGACTACTTGCACACGACCCCGGTGGTTTATTGATAGTCATTTCTCATTTTGCTGAGACAAAATTTTGAATCCCACACCATGGATGCTGGAGTACAGTAGCGTGGCTCTTGCTAGTGAGTAAGTGAGCCTAAATTTCCACCCAATCTCAGTCCAGTTTAGTGACTATTCTCTGCTCAACATTCTGTATTCAGTAACTTTCAAAAATAGTTTGAAGGCGTTACTTAAATTTTTTGGTTATGCTTTTCTTAATTCATGAGAAGCATTTTCTGTATAGTTATGCTATGAATCTCGCGAATTTTGCAGGCCCTGGTAACATGTCCTTTGGGAATGTAAAATCTCTAATACAGAGCGTTCGCTTCTGCCCTCATGTTGATTATGATCTGGTTTGAGCGGTCAAGTCTACCAGTCATTCTTGCATTCATCAACCTGGTTTGGAGGACATAATATATAACAGAATTGTCTGCACAAACATATGTGTAAATAATTAAAGATAGTATGTAATTTAAATACCGTAGGAGTTCTTTGGAGAGTTGAGCAGTAAAAGGAAAACTAATGTGGACAATACATCAGATAAACGATACGTGAAGGTACTCTTTTGAATCCCCAGTTCTTTAGATCTGGAGTATTCTTCTCCATGTCTGTGGTCAAGTTTTCAGCTATTCAAGTATTCACTTCCATAATTACTCACGTTTTCAATTCTAAACCTTTTCTGTGAGATTTCCTTGGCAAGGTGAAATTTGATTTTATTCAATATATCAGTTTGTTTTTATTTTATTTCCTGATATTAAAGAAGAGATTTAGAGCTGGCTTTTTTCCTAGGATTTTCATGAAAACCTAGAGAAGTTAACAGATTTTTAAAAATCACAGAACTGGAAGAGATATAATTGCTAAGGTTTTCAGAATTTTATAAATATTTTTGTGTAAAATATGACAAAAATATTTTTGAGTTCCAAAGGTATTGAGTGCTGGTATTACTGAATCGTTTGTTCTTTAATTCAAGTGAAGTCAAACACAAGCTCTGAAACTCTTAGTTAAAAATAGCACAGCAACTCTGAGAAGACCCTTGGCACTTTGATTTTTGGTTGGTGTGCAACCGGGAAGAGTATTGGATCCTACAAGCTATGTGCTACTGCTCTCAGCCCCTGAGCACAGATCCTTACTTCTGGTTCTCTGTGATGGATTGTATAGGCGCTGGGTGTAAGGGTTCATTAGTCATTTGGACTAATGAGGATGACTTTTTAAAATTTTACCAGATAAAATGTTTCGTCTGGATGAATATTGGAAGCTTCCGTTCACATTGCTTGCAGTTTCCCAGTCTTCAGCTGACATGGAAGCGCTGACTCTAACAGCTCCAGAACAGAAACAAATCCCCCTTAAATCACTTCAACGCCAAGTTGTCAGATGAGTGTTACGCTGCATTCGTCTGCACTGGCAATTCCCAAGTTGTGCAATATCAATAATCAGCTTTCATTTTATTTGAAGATAACTTTCATGTCTTTCAATATGAATGAATTTTAAATAAATACTTAGATTCTGGTATATGGTATGGAGATGACTTTGTAAGGACCACAAGCTTGTAGGGGGAAAATGTTATTTTCATTTGTGTGCTCAGTGCTCGTCCTTTAAGCTCTTAAGGGGAGACTGAATGATTTGTGAGGGCTTATTGCTTGTGGGTGTTCTCTCAAAATGTGTCCCTTGGTGGATCAAGTATCAAATCAATCTGTAGCTTCTCCAGTGCAATATGGATATTGGATTCCTTGTTGCTGTACAAACCATCCACCTTGCGTCCTTTCGCATGCCCTTAGCTATGTCGAATATTCTACCGTTCCTAGGCTATAGTTCCCGTGTGCAGACTCATTCGTGGGTTTGATGTGGTTTCGCAAGTCTTTTTCTGCTACCCAGGGATAGAGGTGATGGATCTTAAAATGGCTCAGTGTTTGCATCTATTTATGTTCTTTTCTTAAAGATGATCTTTGCCTTATTCACGTCATATAAAGCTTTATAGACTCACCTCTTGGAGATTTTTTTCTCAGCAAATCCTCTTTTTTTATGTTTTGGCTGACAATTCACTTAATTTGATTATTTAATCTGAAAATATTGATAAAATGTAAAAGTCCTCCAAAATCCTACTACTTGTTTTGGAATTATGTAAAATAAGAAGTAAATGATTATGCATCAGTCACCTTCCTCAAAGGTAATTACTATCAATTTGATGCATATCCTTCTTGAATTTTTTCTAAATTAACATTATATAAATAAATAAAGTATTCATATTTATAAGACAAGATGTTTAAATGCAATTTAATTTTATATATTTCTATTTATATTGTGTGTGTATATATACATGTACACATACCAGTAAATGTGTATAAACATACACATCATAAAATGAAATTGTGGTATATGTATCTGTTCGCAAATTATTTGCCTTTCCTGATAGGATATACTGAAAATCTTTATGATTCAATACATACCCTTTTTCTTACTCTTTTTAAATGATTGCATAGAGTTCCATTATATTTATATACTGCATATTATTCCAAAAGCCATCTCTTGACATGTTCTTATTTCTATTTTTTTCTATTCCATCATTGTTGCAACAAATATACTTAGACATATACTTTAAGCACTAGTGCTATTATATTTGTAGGCTATATTCTTAGAAGTGAACTGCTAGATTTAAGGATATACTATTTTAATTTTAATAAATACTGACTAATTGATGTTAATGAATATTTTATAAAGGAGATACTATACTATGCTGTTTCTGATTATTTTTACAATGCATATAAGAAAGAATTTCTTTGAAGACCATTACTTAACCAAACTGGTTAAGGGGGTATTGCTATATAGGGAACCCCATACATGATTTATGTATCTATAGTGCCTAAAGTATATATCTATATAAATATTGTCTATTCATGCAAAAACTGTGATTATGTCCACCCTAAATCAAATTCAGTCGGCACCAAAGAGATGGATCTTTGCGGTTGGACAAACACAGCCTTTAAATGATGTAGTAACTGGATGTTTTAGCTTTGTAGCCATAAAACCCTTGGACATGAAGAAGTCTAGTGACAATCTGATGTTAGCAGGACTTCACCAACCCACTTAGGCCACAATTTCAGTTTTTATAACCATCGGTGTAAATGAGCTCAACAATGGACAACATTTTGGTTATATTTGCTGGTTCACAGTTAATAGAGGACACATCCTGTCTATGAATTAAATCACGAAGTTCTTCTCTCTTGATCTCTTTGCTCTTTGAGGCAAAGCTCTGTGTAGCCCAGATCAGCCAAATGCTTGGCTCAGTCTTTCCCATCACATAGAATCACATTCTACGACTTCAAGGAATGCCATAGAAACTGGTTGTATTCTGTTAAAGGAAAACACACACACATCTCTTTAGAATACTCAGTATGGTGCCAAGGGAGATTTCCTGGCTAAAATTTTATTTTATTTTATGAGAAATTTTTAGAAAGTTCACACCCTCCCTTATCTGATGCATTTTCTTATCCCAGGGGATAATTGCTGCACGATGTAAATAATAGGTTTCAAGGTCAGATAGCAGAATTCTGACCAGAATTATTTTTATATTATATAATATAGCAATAGCCTATGTTTAAAAGGAAATAGCCTAGAAGGAAGATCATAGAATATTATTGTTAAAAGATTTTTAATATTTCCCCTTTCTTGGTATTAATGATGGAGACTTGTGATGTTAGATAATTCTGCTCTCTTCTGACTTTCTGATTCTTGTGTAATTTTTATAGTGTGTGTACGTATGCACATAAGAATGCAGGTATGTGTGTTACGTATATTATATATATTCATATACTGTATTTGTGTTTCATTCTTCTTTTACAAATGAGAAATAAGTTTTAAATACTTTGTGAGAAATACTAATACAAGACTTAGATGAAAGAGAAGGCCAAAAAAATAACAAAGAGGTGCTGGCCCTGTGGCCGAGTGGTTTAGTCCGCGCGCTCCGCTGCCAGCGGCCCAGTGTTTCGTTGGTTCGAATCCTGGGCGCGGACATGGCACTGCTCATCAGACCACGCTGAGGCAGCATCCCACATGCCACAACTAGAAGGACCCACAACGAAGAATATACAACTATGTACCGGGGGGCTTCGGGAAGAAAAAGGAAAAAATAAAATCTTTAAAAAAAAAAAAGAACAAAGAAAGAAAAGAGGCAATCTGAACCAAGGAAGGGACTTAGGCATCTTTACTACAGATACTGAAAAGGTGAGGCTATGTTTACAGGCATAGATTTTCGTAGGCTCTTAGTGCCAGGTAAGCTTCATTTGCATTTCACTTCCTTTTCTGTAGTTCTTCACAAACATATTTATGGACATGAGGTCTTTCGAAAGCATTTTGTTGAAAGCGTAAATGTATATTTAATGGGTCACTGTGATGACTTTGCCGGATATTCCATCAGACTGTGATTTCTCTGTTTTTCAGAGTCTGCCCTTGAAGAAGATTCCATGCAAAGCCAGCGCACCCTCAGGATCCTTTTTCGCCCGAGACAATACAGCGAATTTCTTATCCTGGTGCCGGGACTTAGGGGTAGATGAGACATGTCTGTTTGAATCGGAAGGTTTGGGTAGGTATTTTCTTCAGAATTTTAGCTGATAAAATATTATTTTGTTTTTGCCAGTCTGACTGTCAGAACTAACTTTTGTGTGTGATGTCATTTTGCAGATTAACTTTAAAAAATGTGTAGTTTGTTGTAAACTTGACTTTGAAGGCAGAAAAATGCATTCTGTCTTACGATCGGTCACCTTGTGCGTGGAGGAATAGGAACATGAGGAGCACAATTCTTTCCAAGCTAAAAACAAGTATATACAGTGCAGAATTGGGACATAGGGTTCAATTTTACCACCAGGCTCCAACCTGGACTGGAGAGTGGCTACCTATGCTCTTGCCAGCCATCAAGAGCACCAGTGTCTTTTCACCTCTATAAAAGTATGAAAGCACTGTCTTCCATAGACTTATCTTTGTTGAAACTGGCTTGTTTATGTATGTATTTATCTATTTTTTAGTCAGTTCAAAATCAGGCAAGCAGGCAGGAGAGTGGGATACTTGAAAATGATGAAATAAAAGACAGACACCCAGTGCCTAGGCCTGACCAGATAATTGTGGTTTTCGGTCTTGTTTTATTTTGTGATTGAATTTTGGCAAAGCCACTTCCAGGCCATAGAAGGAGCTTTTGTGTTTCCTTGGGAAAAAACATACACTGTTCAGTGTGTCGACATATTTGATACCCTACCATTAAAGGTTCAGATCTTCTACAGAGACACCACTCCAGGACAGCTCTAGTGTGGAGAATATTGAAATTACAGACCCATTCTAATGAACTAGAACCGAGTAAAGAGAGGAGGAATCTAGGGGGAGGAAAAAAGCTTTGGTTCTTTTGCCTGAGGCTTTAAAAAAATCAATTCACAAAATCAGATAACACCAAATATTAACACCAAAGTAAGCTGAGCATCCTTCAGAGAGAACAAGTATACAAATTGCCTTCCAAACAGTCAGAATGCCCTCTGCCCCAGGCCTCAGAAAGCAATATTTCCCTGCCGCACCTAGGAAATTGATGGTAAGAGCTCAAATCTTACTCATTTTATATGCTTAAGGAAATGTGTATTTGTACCAAGAGGAGTTGATGTGATATTGCAAAGATTGTCATCAAATTTCTGAGAATTCTCTCAGCAGAGAAGAGAATTACATGAATTTAGACTAGGAGAACATTTTATCCCGGAAAGAAAAATAAACCAGAATAATTGCCCAGTAGCATTCGATATGCAATAGTGTGCTCCTGGAATGCTCCTCATGCAAATGGGCTTTGAGTGGCCTTGCCATTTCCTCACGTCAAAGTAAAACAAGCTTGATGGAAGATGTATGCGTTGGATGGACCTCTTTTTTAGTCCGGCACTAATTTTACAAATAGACTTTAACTTTCAGATTTATAGGAAACTAGGGGAGTGGAGGATTATAGGAACGAGTGTGGAGGAATTATTTGCTGAAAAAACTCTTGAAAGATCTAATGAATGTTCGCTCTTAATGTGTGGACAAATAACATCATGATTTATAATTCTGGACAAATTATATCATGATTTATGATTCTGGAGTGCCCCTGCATTGCTAAAGAACTGCCACATGGGGAAGGTGCTTTATTGTTTATCTGTTCATTGTACAGGGTTTCATTAACAGGGTTTCAGTGACTATCATAGGCCAAGCGGATTACTAGGAGCTATAAATGTAAATATGGTCTTGTCTGCATTTTCTCTCTGTCCATGAGTTCTTCCGTTAGCTGAAGTAATAAAACTTTCAGTTGGAATCCAAGAAGCTCGGATAGCTTTTTAAAACACCATTCAGGTAATAAGGAGTGCATTTTATCTTGAAACAATAAAGCCTAAAGCAACTTATATAATAATGATCCTGTTATATAAATACATACTCTTATGTAGCATATAAAGTTATGTCAAGAAGTATTTTGAGATGGCCTAGTTCTTTGCCTTGTCTGAAAAAAGCTGACTTTATAAAAGGAAAGTCCACAATAATTTATATATAGTAACTCTTGAGTATTTTGTTAAAACATCTTTGATTTTGATTATCTTCTTTGTTATAACTTAGCTTACACCTTGCAATTAAAATGTATTTATATATCCAAGAAAGTTTAATAGGACCAGGTTTTTAAGGCTATAAAAATTGAAAAATAATTTTTAATGCTGCCAATCCCAAACTAAATCAAATGTTAGGCTTTCTAGTTTGCTGCTCAGTGAAAAGAGAAATTTGAAATTTCTGCTGCTCAGAATAGGGCATGAGGTGATGTGTAATACGCCCTGTGGAGACAGAAGAAGGGAGCCAATATAATAGCAATGACTTTAGGATTATTCAGAGAAAGGCAACAGCTGTGCCCATAGATGTTAATGCTAATCAAGAGGAAGGACAATGAGAAATTCCATTTCCCCAAGTGGAGCCCTTTCTCCTTGGAGTTTTCTTATTATCCCCTGTGGGTGAGGAAGTGATTGAGTCGCTGCTGATGGCCGTGGACCCTGCATTTCCAGAATTGACTTTCTCACAACAATCACACTGTGTACTCGGCTTGATGTCTTTTCACACTTCACTTTTGAAAGGGAATTTAGGGCAAGGGTTTTTTCTTTTTTCCCTACCTCAAGATTTCATTTCAGTAGCGCACAAGATGAAGAGCATCCTTTGTGTCCCAGTGTTTTGAACAGCAAATAAAATGAAAAGATGCCCTGATGAAGGGGAAAAATCTGTCTGAATGAATGATAAAGTAGATCACTGTCCCGAGTGTGTATCAAGAGGCTTCTGTCTTTAGCTGTTCAAAGATCTCTGCCTGCATAAAGCATTCTTATCTTCACAGCAACTGATCTGCTGCCCTCTGTTGTGGTGCTTTTTGGTGCAATTATTTGCAAGAAGGTCTGGATTCACAGCTCACTCAACCTGTTCTCTTTCCACAACAGCTAATGACAAGAAATCTCCGTGGGTGGGGAAGGTATGCCAGGGATTAACTGCAGAGTGTGGACGGCAGCTTATTCCATATGCTTCTCTCATGCTTCTTGTCTTTTTGATTCTTGGCAGATAACTTTCTATGCCGTAGGATGCAATCACACACAGAGTATAACCTGCAGTTTATCTTCTATAACATTCTTGAGAGATGTTTTTCCTCTGTGAAAATGTCTGTTCTTAGATCATAAGTTCACTAATATCCTGAGGAGTGTCTTGAAAATGACCCAATAGAAAAATGGATAAATATCTTCAATAGCATATTTATAAAAGACTCAAAGAATCCAATAAAGATATAAAACTGTTAGGCATCTTAGTAATAAGGTAAATGCAAAAAAAACCTCTGGAAAATTAGCAAAGATTAAGAAAATTGTGTATTTAGTGTTAAGTACATAAGAAAACAGGATCTTCTATATGTTGCTGAAGAAAACTGGAAGTTGGTATGCCTTCTTGGAGGGCAATTTGACATTATGTATCAGAGACCTGAGAGTGTTCATATCTTTTTCTCAAGTTGTCCTATTTCTAAAAGTTCATTTGAAAGAACTATATAGAGATAGGCACTAGAATGTCCATTGAAACGTTTTTTTTACAAGAGTAAAAAAATGGAAATGGACTGAATCTATGACATTTGGTGGTAGCTTAAATAAACTATAGTTATCCATAGATGCCAACCAAAAATAATATTCATAATATTTTTGAGACTATTTAAGGATATTGGAAAATTATGATTACTATGAACAGGAGATCAAGCATTTATATCTAGTAAATAACAGTAAACTATATTCAGAATTTGAAAGTAAGATAAATAGTAATTGCATTGTAAATGATAGCATTTTCTTCTTCAGTTGCCTATTAACACACATGAGACAATAAACAGGTATGGCATGTAATCTGAAACATGAACAGTTAATTTTAATTATATTAAGATACAATGTGAGCCAATTTGCATAGAGAATTATTTATTGACATACAATTTTAGACATCAGTGTATTACGAGGGCAGTTTCGCACTGTTGAGGTTAAACTGACATGTCCAGTGACTACAGAATTGTATCCTGCTATAGGAACAGAGGACATAGGTCCTTGTGTGCTTTGTGGAGCATACTTTCACCTTCTGGGCCCACGTGTGATGCTCACCTGCAACCCCCACTGTTCAAACCATGCTGTCATGTACAGGGAGTGGATGTTTTCCTTTTCATGTCTCTGATTTATTAAGATTAATAATTGGTTTCACTGGATTCCTTAGAAATATGTAGGGTTGTGCTTTAGGTTAAAAAGATGAACATGAATGTTTTCTCGAATTTAAAAGTATGTAGTTTATCATTCTAAAGATAAAATATTCCCCCAATAATTATTTTAAAAGAACTGAACTTTACTTTTAATTGTAGAATAAAGAAAAAAATGTTTAGAAGCTTCTAGGTATGAAAGCATTTCTGTTTTCAGTGTGACAGAGATGTGACAGTTATTAGACTATATTAATCAACATTCTTCCTTACAGTAAATGTAATAAATTTTCAAATGTTAGATACTTTAACCACCGTTTCTAAAATAATGGTGAATATTTTGATATGACTCATTTTTATTATTCAAATTAAGACCAGAAATCTATAATTTATTTTCAAGCTCAAAAAGTTTTAAGTTATGAGTCCTAAAATGTATTCTCTTATATGAATTTTTTATAAGATATTTTAAGTAAGAAGGTGTTTTCTTAAATTAGTGATCTTCTTGTGTGGAGAATTTGTTATTTGAAATTTACTTTAGCACATGACTTTAGAAATTGTCAAGTTAGTTTAGTTTCTTTTCCCAGAGCCTTGTTTATTTTGCTTTATTTGTATGCATTCTGGTGACCTGGGAAATGGGGAAAAAAAGGATGGGGGGAAATACTTAAAAAATGCATAGTTTTTTGCTTGCCGTAATTGTGTCAACATCACTATGTTATTGGATGATTATAGGATTTGGAGGCCAGTGACTATTCTTCGCCTATTTCTCTGAGAAAGAAGCTACTCAGCAAGAAAAGGGTTTGCTCTCTGCTGTGCTAGCATGCAAATGTGTGTGATGTGTGTTTTATTTTTATGTT